CGTCCTTCCTCAGTCCCCTAAATATAGGAATTTTTCAAGATTCCTTTTTTCTTCCCACACCTTCCCTTTCCCTCTTCCCTTCCCCTTCTTTTCTCTTTTTTCTCCCCTCAAAACCCATCCATCAATTCCTACTGCTTCAGCCATCACTACTATGAAGATGCCTCCCAAATCTGTATCTACAGCATTTCCAGCTTCCTGCTGGGCATCTCCATCTGGAAGTCCTTCCTGCATTCAAAGTTAACATGTCCAAAACTGAACTCATTAATTCCCCATTAACACTCTTTTTCTTTCCAGTCCTCATGCTAGCATCATCACCTTCAGCAAACAGGTTTGAATCTTAAATTCAGCCCTTATCTTTCCATTGCTTCCTGATTCCTTCCTGATGTCTCCCTCATGCAGTCAGTTGGCCAGACTAGCCTGATTCACCTCCACGCTGCTGCCATCATTCAGCTCTTCTTTTCCATCCCTGCTGCTGCTACCCTAATTTAGGCCCTCATTATCTCCCACCTGGACTATTGGAAGAAGCTACTCCCAGCTAATCTTTTCTCTCCTTTCCCCTGCACTTAACATGCTACTGCCAGAGTAACAATATTAGGCCCAGAGTAACAGTTTTAGTCTTTAGTTCTGATCACATCACTCGCTTGCTGACAAACCATCCATGCCTTCAGATTGCCTGCAGAATAAGTCCTGATGCTAAACCTGACTTTCAAGGCCCTTCACTCTTTTACCATCTGTTTTTCTGGGCTTGTACATCTTCACACATTGCCCAAGTGAGTAGCTCCACAGCTCCTGAACCTGTTCCCCATTCTTTTACCTGCTTATCACTCTGTAACCTGTTCTTTTCACCTAAAGTACCCTTCTTTCCATTCTAATAACTCCATCTCACCCCTACCTTCATTCTCTTCTCAGGGAAATTTGACCATCTTTGAGGCTCAGTCTGAATGCTATCTATACTGTGAGGGGCATCTCTAATAAGAAGCAGTTTTCTTTCTTCCTTTGAGTTCTGATAGCTTTTAGTTACTCTACTGTCTTTGTTATCTGTTCCATATACTATTCAATTTAACCTTTTTTTAAAATGGAGGTACTGGACTTTATGCAGGCTAAGCATGTGCTCTACCGCTGAGCTATCCACCCCCCCTGAATTTAACCATTTCTTGAACATGTTGTTATAGGTATTTATTATACCTCTTATTTCTTTGTGTACCTCTTGGTATAGATATGTTGAAGAAATGGAACTTGAGACAATATGGAAAGGTGCCCTAGCTGTGATTGAAATGCTGATAGGGTTGGATTAAGGAAGAAAAACTAGTTAATAGTTGTGAAAGCTATGATGATGCAGTGAGAACTGCAGTTAACCATCTATTATTGTCAGTCTCTAAAGTAATACTTACTAAGTCTGTCTCCTATCCATATGGAACCCTTCCACATGAGCAGACAGCTATCATGTACTCCTCTAGCTTGAATTCTCCCAACCCTTTCCTTCACATGCTGTGCTCCTGCCATATTGATTCTTGAAACAGCTGTGTTCTCCTCACTGTCCTCCAAACCGTCACACCTATTGTCTCTTCTCTGGAACAGTCTTTTTTTCACTTTCTCTCCCTGCTTCGGCTCCCCTGACTCCCTCCTCCTCATCCTTTAGGTCTCAGAGAGGTCTCTTTCACCACCCTCTCAGCACCACTTACGTTAGTTGTCCTTTCTCTGTGCTCCCACAGCCCTTGATCATCTCCTAAAGTAGCTCATGCCACATTTTATTATGATGTTTAATCCAGACTGTATTATCCACAAGAACAGAGACCACATAGTACTCACCATTGTGTCCTTCACTCTCTGTTTGGCACTGTGCCTTGCATGTCGTAAGCACTTACTACATTTTTGACTGAATACATTTGAGAACACCAACTTAACTATTCTCCAAGCTAGCATCCATTGTGTTTTTTTAGCCCTGCATGTGGCAGGAGATGATTTCAGCATCTTCTGGATATGCTCCAGCTTGTCAGTATCCCTCCTTAAGAGAGGCACTGAGAATAAATCACAGTGTTCCAGGTGAAAAGTATGACCTGGACTATGTGAAACATATTATCTCTACCAGCTTAGAACCCAAGGGATTGTTTTTTATGCTCAGAAGCAAAATTTCTTATTCTGTTTTGCTTATGAGCTACTTTTTGAGCTGTGGACATTATCAATTTATCTCTGTATGTTTTTTTTAAGGGTGTTAATGATGTGAATTTAAAGAAGTGGTGTTTTGGAAACATTTAATTTACTCAAGCTGTTAATCTCTTCTCTGGGCTGTTAACTGTTCTTATGTGAAAATTGATGGTTAGAAAGTGTGCTTTTCTGACTGCTCTCTTGATTTCTGTCAACCAGTCTACTACAGTTTTTTTCTTGACCTTTTCAGTAATGCGTTCTGAAGGTAACGATTATTTCAGTGATATATGATGTTTGGTGGTGATGTTAAGAATAATTCCTTAACTTTTGTCATTTTGGGAGATAGAAAAGGAAACAATATCTATAGGAGATTATATATGCTGGTAGTGGGGAAGACTTTGAGAGCTAAAAGGAGAAATGGAATAGAAGAAAGAGAAAATATGAGTTGAGAAAAAATAGGTGGCAAAAAAGTAATAAGGAAAGAGAATGTAGTTTTCTGATCACTTTATCACCTACCATGTGTTTCCACAGTGTTATATATTTACTTATGTTGTCTCTTCCTTAGCAGTGACTTTGGAAAGTAGATGTTGTTAAACCTAATTTTACAGAAGAAGTGATCATATGAGTCGTGCAGCTAATAAATGGCAGAAGGGTTTTTCAAACCTGGTTCTAAATCAGTCACTATTCTAATGACTTAGTAGGCAGTTTGCACCTGAGATGAAGTAGATGGAGAGTCACTATAGCATAATGGTTAAGCATGTATATAGGCTCTAAAGCCAGTTGACCTGGGTTTAAATCCCGGCTCTATCAAGGCTCTAATGCTTACTAGCTCTGGTACTTTGGGCAAGTTGCTTGATCTCTCTGTGTGCCTCCTTCTCCTTATCTGTAAAATCAGGATAATTGGGGTACCTTTCCTCATAGAGTTGTTGTGAGTTAATTTAATTAATATATAGCAAAATGCTTAGAACAGTTCCTGGCATATATGGAGTCCTATATAAATATTTGTTGTGCTGCTGTTACTGTTGTATTTTTATTTTTGTTATTATTTTGTGTGTGTTTCCCTTGTGAAAGGTCCCATCTCTGAGAAGTTTGAGGAAGGTGTTGTCAGACTGTTGCCAGGACTATTTCATCAGCCTGACTTGGTCAGAAGTCTCAAGGCTCATGTCCTGGAGTTAGTTCTGTCATATGCTTCATTCCTAACCAGACTCAACCTTCAAAATTTAGACAGACAGACAGACAGACAGACACACACACACACACACACACACACACACAAAGCCTTATCTTCCTCTTTTCCCTTTCTAGAATTAAGAGCCAATTCAGACCTTCTCTTTAATGTTATTATGCAGGAGGGGAAGAATAAAAATTTACCTTAGGTGATATATAAATAAGGATCAAGGAACATAAGTTAAAGTCTGTAATTCAAAGCAAAAATTTAGCAAGAGCTCCCATTTTATATTTTCTTCTAAAACAGAGTGCTTCCCAGCCCTCCTGCAGTTCACGTCTATAGGATTTAAGTAGTTTGTTACATAATAATAAAAAACTTTGGACATTTCTGATGATTATTTGTTTCTACTGTGATATAGCTTAATTACCTTAAATCAACTTTCTTTTCCTAGGAAATTAGAACTTCTTTTAAAAAATCATTAACCCCTCTAATTTACTGACAATCACTTACTAGATTAAGGAAAAAAATCTAAGTAGAGAAAGAGCCATAACTGTTTTCTTGCAGAGAACCTGGAGATCTGTCTTATTTTGAAACTAATGAAAGGGTAAGTAGGGGCCCTTTTAGAAATTTGTTTGGAGGTTTGGGGTATGGGGAGGGTGTGTGTGTCAAAATTTTTCTTAAATAAAGAACTAGCTCGTTAATTTTGGCTATGTTAACTTACTTAATTTAAATTGATTCTTTGTTCAGAATTCACTCAAGGAAGTCTTAATAATTCAATGAAATATTATAATATAAATTTTTACTATTTTTCACCACATTTACAAATTATATTTGTATATCATTTATGTATACTGTAATATACTCTATTTGATTAGTGCTCATGAGTATTGTTCTAAGTATTAATTTATTATAATACATTACCCATAGTTTTCTTTTTTCAGTGATGTCATTTAGTTCTCTTATAATATCCATTTGCGATACTTAAACAAACAAAAATATATTCCTGGAAAGTATTCCTGGCCTTATTTATAGTAGAAATTATAAAAGTTCAATCCTTATGACCAAAGAAAAAAAGACATTCTTACAGCCTAATGTTGTCTAGAATGATCATCCTTAGCATAAATAAGAAATGGCAAGATATTTGCCCATGGCATTCATTTCCATTTTACTTCTCAAGTAAAAATTTTAAGTTATTTGAATTTGGTGTCATCCTTTCATTTTCTGAGCTGCTTTTCTTCCTGTGAAGACACTTTTTTACTTCCCCCCCTTACCACAGTCATCAGCAAGTTAATACCACTTCATCCAAGCTATAGAATTTGTGTTTTACTTGCTGTCAGCCACCACAAAACAGTTTAAAACTATGGATTCTTCTCATTATCAGAGCAAATGGTTAAGATTGCATGGTAGGGTATAGACAGTAGGAAAACCCAGAAAGAGAAGGATACCAAATCATTGGACCTCACAGTTTTGAGGTTGTCACTTTCACAATGAGCCATGGGTTTCTTTAGTTGTTTCCTGAACTCATTACTTTTTTCTATTAACTCTTTCTTCCCTCAATCCTATTTCTTTTCAACAAGTCCCATTGTCTGATTTTGGAAGTACAGGTGTATCTGTAGCAATCTTCTAACTTGATCTGACTAAGGGTGTAGGGGCATATTAATCCTCTTCTTCCTTTACTTGTTGGCAGGGGCCTTGTACACGACAGCCAGAATAACCTCCAGTTGAGGGGCTTGGTGGTGCTACTTATTTCTAAAGCAGCTGGGCCCAGCAGCGTGGATGCTTCATGCCAGAACTATGACATGGTCAGTGGGATCTATTCATGGTAAGAAGAAATTAGTCTTTTGACATTGCTCTCTAAATTATTTTCTTACAGTGGTCAGTAGAAATCACTGTTTAGTTGTCATTCTCTGGTTCAAAGATAGATTAAAATATTTAGTAAGGTTAAAACATGGGTTTTTATTGTTCTTATCAAATCTAATAGTCTTGGCTGTTTTGTGTGTAACTCTGGTAAATTTCTCCATACCTTTATGTCGAATACTTTCGTTTCTACCTGGAGCATTTAAAATTTTCTATTCATCACTACCCACCTGCCCCATCACGGTATCAGTGTATCTCTGTGGAGACTTTCTATGTCATTTAGTCCAGGATTCATGACTTTTAAACCTACTCAATATGGTAACTTAGTTGTATATATAATGAGGCAACTACCATTTTAGGAGATGCAGTCTACTTCAGTGCTATATTATTTATTTTACTTTGTGTATTTTTATGGTAAAAGGATTTTTACTAAAGTGACTTGAATAAGAAACTTTTACATCTCACACATTTAGATTAAAAAATACATTTATGAGTGTGTATTAGTCATTTTTTGCTGCATACAAAATAAACTTTAAATTTTTGGTTTTGATTTTTAAAATGACTGCATGTTTTTTAGTAACCATATATCAGCAATAAATTTATTTAATCTTAGCAGTATACTTGACACTGTGTTAAAAACATGTACAGAAAGAAGTAACAGTCGTTAGGTGGACTCTGGCCCATGAAATTAAAACCACCCTAAAAACATGGGTGACGAGGAAATTTTCCTCACATAAAGAAGTATTTCTAGAAACTTTGACTTATGGTTAATATAGCTCATTGATTTACTTTAAAAATCATTCCACATCTTAGACTTTTTAAAAAAGTCCTAGTAGTCTTACCCATAAATGTTTTCTTCTGTAATATTTAGAGATGGCTGTTGCTTGCCAGCTATTGAATTCCAGTGATCTTCCCTTATTAAGAAGGAAGCAAAGATTATTACTGTTGTGGCTAAAAATGTAGCCACAGATCTTCCTCCAGCCAGGATAATTTTGCAGACCTTTTACCATTTATTCATACCAGTGTCTGCCCTAGAAGGGATATCTTGGGATCATTTTCAGTCCCTACTCACTCTGAAATAATTTGTATTTGTTTAGTGCTTTGTAAGTTACTAATCACCTTAGTGACAGTTATCCCATTTGATCCTGACAATAATGCCATAGGTAAGATTTGTCGTTATGCTTCCTTTTGAGAAAACTGGGTTTCAAAAATCTTGAGATTTCTTTTCAAGGTGACATGACTGGTAAGTGAGGAAAGTTAAGGCTCTCACTATAGTTCTTTTACTTCCAAATCTCATGTGTTTTTTTCTTGATTTCATTCCACTTTTCTAGTCAGATTCAAAAGAATTTATTTCACTTGTGGATTAGACTAGCCATTAAATTAGTATACCAAAAAAGATCTTCTTGTGAGTATGTCTTAGAAGACTTCTGAATGGAAAACAACTTAGCAGATCTTTAATAAATCTACATCCTTCCCTCAGCATGTTTAAATTAGAGCTCAAAACTTTATCTTATAAATTTCATAGAAAAGCTATTGGCTGAGTGATTTCGTTGAAATAATTGGAGAAAATATGTAGCGATCTACAATACCAATAAACTGTTTGTCCCTGGAAAAGAAATGAACCACGTGTCACCTTGTATCCCATGTATCTCTGTTTCCTATTTAGAACTCCATTGATTTTTTCAGTCTGCTGGCTTTAACCATTTTATTGATCAGTCATCTGCTCTTGCATTTGGGTAAACATACATACCTCTGATGAACACCAGCTGTAGTTTACCATTGCTTATCCTAAAGTAACTGTTGGAAAATGCTATTCGACACCTAACAGATGTTCAATAAATATTTATTGCATAAATGAACCATCCCATTTTACAGAAAAAGATACTGAGATACAGACTTATCTAAAATCCTCTAGGTAGAAAGTGATAAAAGTTGAGATTTAAATCTGAAGTGTATACCCTTTCTACTATGCAGATACTGTTGTGTGCACTGCGATGTGACCTCATGTTTCCAGTTTCTTTTATAGCCTCTCAGAGACAGCTGCCTTGCCTTCTGATCCTTCACAGGAACATAACGCATTTGGTAGAGGGTTGCGGTAATATGAGTAATTGTAAAAGAACTCTGCAAACGAGTAGGTGGTACGTTATGAATATAAAAATTTTCCAAATAACATAAATGAGTTTCATACCCAAGTGTATAGAATCCAGTTACATTCAGGGAATAATCCTGGTGTGTGGTTCCAGGCTGTTTTCCTGTAATCAGACTTTATCTAGTAAGTCATTGGTGTTGCTTGGGTGTTCTACACACTTGTTAATGTGAAAATGTAATTTAGCATAGTACTATGAGAAACCAATCATTTGTTTCTCTGTCCCTGAAGTCATTTGTTTGGCTTCTGCTTCCTTAATTGTTCAAGTGTTAACTTTTGCTGGAGGCTTGTATCTATAATGCCACAGTGAATTATTTAACATTTGGGGGAAGTACTGATTTGGGAGCTTTTTAATTCACCTCCAAACTACTGGGATTTACATTGTTGGTGTTTTTCTCTCATAGACTTGACTTTGATGTCAGATAATGAGACCTGAGTAAATTACCTAAGGGAACAAAAGTGAGTTAGGTGACCTCTTTTGTTTGGCCTAAGGATATAACTGATGGATGTAACTTGTGGATGTGTCTAGTGAACTTATCACATAATGGCCAAAAGAAGTAGAATTTAGGTTAAAATATAATAACTACACTTTGAAAAACAGGTAAGCAAGTCACATTTGTAAAAAGGCACTATAAAAATCTACCATAAACTTTTGCCAGCAAAACCATGGGCTTTAGGTTTATTCTACCAATCCTAACTTTAAAAATTGGTTACAAAAGTGATCAGGCAAAAAAATATTACTGAATTTACAAGCATCCCCAGCCACAACTGATAAAATAAGTTTACAACTTACTCTGTTAATGATAGGCTATTTTTTTGTGTGTACAAAAGACAGATCGTTATAATATATAATACACAGTATTACAAAGCATAGACTTCTCTAGTGTAACATTATTAAGTTTAAAGAAATGCAGATGAATTTTGTGACTAATAGTTCAGTTTTCTCAGTTGGTTTAGGAAGAATTGACTCAAATATTTCTCATCTATCTAGCAGTTATAAACAAACCACAAATTTTCACTTTACCTTCATTCCCTGAAATTTCCTAGCACCTCTTGTTAACTGTGTTAGAAAAGATTGAAACAAGTTTGCCAAACACATTGTCTTTTCTTCCTGAGTATTCAGCTAGACCTACATTTCCCAACCTTCCTTTGCAGTTGACTTGGCCATATGAATGAGATCTAGCCAATGGAATATAAGCGGAAGTTGTATTTACTATTTCCTGGCAGTACCCCTTAAGCAGGTGATCTTGGAAGTGACCTATTCAAGATGAAAGGTGCCTACATCCCTTGGAGGAGAGCCACCTGTCCATCAGAAATATCCATATAGACTTGATGAATGAGAGGAAAAGTCTATTTGTTCCACCACTTAAACTTTAGGGTTTAATCTCTTAATAGCAGTAGTGTCTTAATTAATATGCCTTTACTGTTTCTGTCACCCAGTTACCCCAGTGAATTTGGTAAACCTTGATTTTGCCTTCCATGCCCAATAGACCATCAGCTGACAAGTTATTTACCTTCTATGTCCAACAAACCACCAACTCTCAAGTCTCTCCAGGTCTCTTTTTCTTTCACTTTCCACTCTCCTATTCCAGGCCTTTGTTACTTTATGTCCAGATTTTAGCAATAGCTGTCTATTGGGTCACCCTGTCTCTAAATGTTCCTCCTTAGTATTTTTCCTATTGAGTCTTGTTAAATTGAACACCCTATAATCCATCTGATCACTCATTAAACAAATACTAAAGACTTACTATGTGATGTGCCAGACACTGTGCTTGGTGCAGGAGATACAAGCTGAATAGTGTGTAGTATTTACTCATTGACCTTAGTAGCACCAAGCCAGGGAACATAGAAGTTTACAAACAACTGTAGTACAATGCTATAGATACTGTAAGTAGAGTATAAACAGAATTCTGTGGAGGAATGAACTATGTTGGGGAAGGAAAGGAGAAAATTTCAGAAAAAGAGACCATTTGAGCTTTATAAAATAGGGAACTTATTAGTGGGTTTTGAAGGTAACTAGGAGGTCGTCAGTTGGAGGAAGGCAGCTAGGCAAAGGGTTTGGTAAAAGGTGGTTGTATTCTAGGCAGAGGAAGTAAGAAACTGACTGACCAAAGACGTGGTCTGGAATTACATAGCAGAGGCCACAGCAGTGCCAGCACTGTAGTGGGCACTCAGTACATAACTGTTATATGAATGTATGAATTATCAGAATAGAGATTAGCTTCATTTTGCTGTAGGTGTTATGGGTTGAATTGTGTCCCCCCCACAAGTTCATATGGTGAAGTCCTAACCCCTAGTACCTCACAATGTGATTTTATTTTGAGATAATCAAGTTAAAATGAAGTCATTAGAATGGGCTATAGTTCAATGTTCTTATTTTTTAAAAAGGGGGGCAGGAATTTGGACACAACATGCATATACAGGGAGAACACCCTGTGAATGTGAAGATGGTCATCTGCAGGCCAAAGATAAAGACCTGAACAGGTTCCTCCCCAGAGCCCTAGCAAACTGATACAGTATAGAATATTCATGAGGAGATGGCATAGAAACGGAAGGCTGATGTCAGATTGTGAAGGGCCTAAGGAATTAGAGCTATATCCTGGAGAAACAGTGGGGAGTTATCCAAGAGGCAGCAGAATAGACTTGGAATCTGGAAACAGACTACATCACCTACTAGTTGTGCCTCAGCACATACTTCAGAGAATGGTTTTAAGAATTAAATGAGTGAATAGAGTAATGCATAGCATAGTAAGCATCCTGTGTTTATTTTTATTCATAGCTATTAGAAAGGTCTTTAAACAAAAGAGTCACATTAATAT